AAAAAAAAAAAAAAGAGCAACGGTCTTCGGTACTTCCTCCTTTTATGGGGCTGCATTTTAAAATGTTTTTGTCCATATTGCTGTAAGTAAATCGTTTCGAGTTTCCCAAAAAAAATAAAATAAAATAAAATCGTTTCGAGTAGGGGGCAACACCAACCAACCCCTATCTCCTTTTTTATTTTTTTTAAAGCACCCCCACAACCAACCCCTACCCTATCTCTCCCCAGCCCACGGGGTAGGTTTGCAACAGCGCGGTGGAGTGATAACAAGGCTGAAGCAGCAATGGTCTGCAGAGGCGTCCTGATGAATGCCATTTGGACGGCCAGAAATGCTACGGTCTTCAAGGGAGAGCAGAAACACATCATTCAACAGCAATGGCAAGTCAAGAATGACCTGAGACACATTATTCGAGCTGATTGGCACAGGAGAGGAGCCCAGTGGTTTTTGAAAACTTGGGCCAGGGCTAAAAGGCTTGCCTGGGTTAACCAAGGGGCTCGTTAGACACTCCTCAGCGCGTCCTCGGGCTCCGAGGGGAAATCCTCGGGGCAGCCCGAGGATTTTCCCGCTTTTGTTCCACTGCTCCCTCGGGACGACGCCCGAGGATGCTCGGAGGACTGGCCGCGGGGAGATGTATAATTTTATACGCGGCCGCGGGACGAAAGTTTGGGCGGTGGTCCATCGTCCGGTGTCCGTGCGAGCGGCCTTGGTCCACCGCGTTTGGCCTTCGAATTCGAAAAGGAACTGCCACCGCCGCAATGAGGAAAAAAATCCGCGCTCGCGTGTACTTTTAAAATTCAAATTTCGAATCGGCCGACCATGTCGTGCGGTGTGGTTCCGCGTGGACATGCGGGTACCTTGGGGTGACCCCATCGGGGACTCTGAGGGGTTTTGCAGTGGGCGTCACGCGGGGGAGCTGCTAGCCGTTGTGGCGTCAGCACAATGTTCCACACGTATTTGAAGAGATGGCTCTCCGTGGCCCTCCGTCGACTGTTGTGAGCGTCGCGTTCCGCCTTGCTCGTTCGTCCTCACGCACCACGGCACGACCGCCATCTCCGCCAGCTTGCTCGTGGGCGGTGTCCATTGCTGGCGGCGTCCGGTCGAGTGTTGGGCGAGTTCACTCCGCGAGGATGACTGCGATGTCTGAGGTAGTCCATGTGCGTGGAGTGGGTGATGGGGATGACGTCGGGGCCCGGTTGTCCGCTCTGGAGAGGGCTGCCGTGACGTCTGCCGTAGCCGCCGTCATCATGCATTGCGACATGGAGGTCGAATGTCAACGGCGGTGGGCACGACTACGTTCTCGGAGAAGGAAGTTGATGCCGGCGGCAACGACTGAAGCGTTGGCTAGCGCTGCCATCTGTGATGCCGTGTTGGAGGTGTGCTGTGCACTGGGGTGTGGGGGACTACCGAGGGCGACGCCGAGGTGGTGGGTAAAAAGGAGGACGGGGGGGACTTGGGAGGATCTTCGGCCTGCGGACGACGCCACTGACGATTACTTCCGCGACAAGTTACGGATGTCTCCACGTGTCTTCCGCGAGATCGTTGAGAACTTGTCGCCGATTCTCCAGCGACGTGTGACGTTCTATAGGGAACCGTTGCAACCAGACCAGATCGTGGCCTACGCGCTGTACATGTGGGCGTCGGGCGAGACATATGAGAGCAGCAGCTGCAGCTTTGGGATTGGCAGGGCTTCAAATTTGGTGGCCGTCCAGGACGTTACTGCTGCGCTACTTTCGGTGTACAGGGAGAAGGTGGCGTGGCCGACTGGGGTGCGGAAGGCGATCGTTCTGTGTGCTTTTGCAGACAAGGGTTTCCCGAACTGCCATGGGTGCATCGACTGCACCCATATCTACGTCGACAAGTCGGCGAATGCACCTGCAGAAGACTACTACGACCGCAAGAGACGATTCTCTGTCGTTGCTAAAGTGGTGGTCGACTTGGACTTGCGCATTCTGGACGTGTTCGTGGGATATCCGGGGAGCTGCCACGACGTCCGGATCATCCATTTCTCCACTCTATGGTCGCGGGCGGCGGCGGGAGAGTTCTTTACAGGGCCTCCTGTGCTGCTACCATTCCAAGTGCAGACGAATGGTTATCTGCTGGCCGACAATGGTTACCCGCCGAGCGAATGGATGGTTGTCCCGTTTGGCGGCGTGGCGCAGCATCCCCTGGAGAGTCATTTCGACAGCAAGCAGAAGATCGCGAAGGGGGGAGTGGAGAGGGCATTTGGGAGACTGAAAGGAATGTGGCGCTTGTTCCTAGGCTCGCACAAGACCAACATGGAGACCTTGCCCCAGCAGTTTGTGGCCGTCTGCATCTTGCACAACATCCTGATCGACGCCGACATTCCTTTCGACGAGAACTTGTTGTGGGAGGTTGACGCTAATGGAGTTCGCCGTCGAGTGGATCTCGGGATCCATCCCCCCCCCAGGCCGTAGTGCATGGAAACTTCTACGGGGGAGGCGATCATGCTGCGCCAGGCGCTGGCGGAGCGAATGGTGCGGCGATGACGGCAGAGGACGCCGCTTGCCGGCGGGAGCTGTGGGCCACGTCGATGGAGGAACGTTTGACAGCGGCGGTGGGAGAAAGTAGTGTGCGGAGAGACAACGGGCGCAGTACATGTGGCATGTCATCCAATTTTCGGTCAGCAGTGAGGGACGCAGAGCGGAGAGCGACAATCATGCCTCGTAGTCCCCGCGCCATATGCCGTCCGATTTTGAGTTTCTCGGAAGTTTTTCCTTTTTGTGTTTCGATCCGCGGCTTYGGGCTGGTGCRTTGATAGTGGGGCGTTCCCTGTTAGTGTGGGCGAGTCGTTGGGCGGCGGAAGCGGCGGCGGTGGCCRGTTAGTGTGATTAGTTGACGGCATTGAGATGGAGTTGTTGTCTGTCGCGAGCGGCAGTCSTGTGCATGCCTTGGGGCTCGTTTAGGACGTTCTATGGAAAGCAATCATGTCGGCAGTGTGTTTTTTTAATTCGCAAGGGTTTGGTGATTGTTGGGTTGTGATCGCAAAGTTTTATTGCTTGTTGGCGACTGTTTTCCTTCCTCTCCTACACACTCCCTGCTGCATGGATGGCATGCTAACGTGTGAAAAAAGAAGTCTGCGAGGGCAATCAAATGGTGTTTACATGTACTGATATAAACAAATGAAAGTCGTAAAGACGCAGGAAAACAGTTTTGTGTCTGCCTTCATTCGTCTGCGTCTTCGTCCTAGGGTTGCCAGTGTTTGGTGGATGAGTGCGCGTTGTGATAAAAACAAACGATATGCAAACGACAATGATCAATGGTCATCGCACAATGGTCACATGCAATTCCGAAAACAAGTGAAGTAAAAAAAAAAAAAAAAAACTCCAAATAAAATAACAAAACAAAAACATGTGCAATATACAGAGGACGGGAAGGATCGATTGGTTTGCGTTCGGGAAGCATGCCAACACAAAAGACGACCACGTATCGAACCGGGCTGAAGAGACGGAAAGAAGAACAACACGTTTCCAAATTATAAAGCACGCGGCACTGTACATAAACAAAAAAGTGATTTTCGACGCCGCACCGGCGACCAGAGACGACCACCGAACACAGCCGTCTGCGCCATCATCATCATCATCATCGTCATCATCATCATCATCATCATCATCATCATCATCATCATCATCATCATCATCATCGTCATCGTCATCATCATCATCATCATCATCATCATCATCATCATCATTATGATCATCATCATCATCATCATCATCATCATCATCATCATCGTCATCATCATCATCATCATCATCCTCGTCGTCGTCGTCGTCTACATCCACATCATCATTGTCTTCATCATCATCATCGTCATCGTCATCATCCTCGTCGTCGTCTTGATCATCATCATCATCATCATCATCATCATCATCGTCGTCGTCTTCATCATCATCATCATCGTCATCATCGTCGTCGTCGTCATCTTCGTCCCCATCATCATCATCGTCGCCGCCGTCTTGATCATCAGCATCGTGGACTCCATCGTCACCGCCTTCGTCATCATCGTCGCCATCATCATCATCATCATCCGCATCACTGTCGTCGTCGCATGCAGTCCGCGACCATTGTTCACGCCTCCCCCTCGTCTGCATTCTCCTCCTCTTCGTCGTCGATCTTGGGTGGTCCGGTGCCCATCCAATCCAGTCTCCTGGCAAGATCGGGAGACGCCAACGTCGCGTCGTTGTTGAAAGACACCCCGCACCAAAAACCCAGTCGGGGATGTACAGCGGAGAGTCCACCAACGTAATTGGGGGCTTTCCCATTTTCTCTGTCACGGCGTTCACGCACTGCAGAACATGGCGCCGCGCGTCGAACGAGCGATGAAGCGACGCAATGAGCGTGGGTTTCGCGACTAGCTCCATCAGATGGGAGGCCTCATACTGTGAGCGCAGATTATCACCCGCCATCCGCATGATCCACATGGCGGCAGACAACAAAAGGCGCATGCAGTCCACGACGTTCCTCAACCTCTCGTACGAAATCCGACCGCCGTCCACCCCCTCCCCAACGTCAACAACATTATTGAAAGCTCCGACGAGACGCTGCATTGTGGACTCCTGATACGATGCCAACTCGTCCTCCTCGTGCCTGCCGTGTATGATGCTGCCAACGTACCATAAACTCACAATTATTACTTCATCAGATTCAAAGTTGTAGATAACACACAAGTGATTTAGTGCTCAAGAATAAGAATAGTGAGGGATTTATGGAAT